ATTTGGTATTCGAATACCTATCAATTATATTATCAAATTTTCACATGACCGCATAATTTTGCAAAGAGCGATAATAGGTTTTCTTGAATTATTAATTCAAAAAAATTACGTCACAATCTATTGACTTGACTTTTAAAATGATATCTTTTAATCCAAAATAAAATAAATATATAAATATAATAAATGAGATCAATGAAGATATAAAATAAAAGTTAATCAAAATAAATTAACAATAATATCAGAGCTAATTCCTTGTAATCGAGTATCATCAGCAAGATAAGGTGGAATTACATGCGAAAGTTAAAATATTATTTTGAAGTTACTAAAATTTCTACTTTTCTTAACATAGAAATTCTATGCCATGTTGAACGGAAAATTCATGGCAGTCATATATATAATTGTAATCGCAAATGCGTTAAAAATTTGGGTTTCTGTATTTATGTACATTTAGAACTTTCAATCTTCCTCTGAAATTATAAAACGCTTTTGCTTAAATAAAGGGTTTGTATTTGTATCTAAAAGCCCATCGCGTTTAAATGGAAGATTAAAACTTCAAATTTTAAAATGGATAAAGAATTCGAAAAAAAAGGCTGTATATTTTCAGTGGCAATAATTTTTATCAAATAAACACGATTAACTCCTAATTTTTATTTTTGATTTGTAGTATTGAATATTGAAACTATTTCAATTATTTCTTCATATTACTTTTTGTACCGCTCTTTTGATTTTTTTTTTTATTTAATTAGACACATTGTGTATTAAATGTTTAAATGTATAAGACAGATCAACTTATATTTTGATTATTTTTAATAAAAAATATTTGCCATCATTTATTTGAAATAAACCTATATTAATATAGTTTTTTTCAAACTAAAAAAAAAAAAAAAAAGATTAATGATATTTTTCAATGTCAACTCTTGATTTTTTAATAAACATTCATTTTATTAAACATAAAAAATGAATACAATTACATTAACGTGGGGTAATTGGATAAAAAAAAAAAATAATTGCTGATTGAAATAATTGAATTTTTTACGAATAATAAAAATATCATATACTGTTAAATGTACATTTGTAAAGTGTTACGCATGTAGTAGTGAAAAAAAAAATTTGTTCAAAATCTTATAGATCATTTATGACATGTGGATTTTAACGACTACTTACGAATGCTTTAGAAATGCATTACGTATATTGTAGGGTTAATTAGGCATTATGCCTTTTTTCTGATTGCGGCACGTTTGTAGTAATAATAGGGGATGGGGTTTGCCTCTGGTTCAGCATCACGTTTGTAGTAATAGTAGGGGACGGGGTTTGCCTCCGCTTCGGCATCACGTTTGTAGTAGTAGTAGGCCTCTGCTTCAGCGTCACGTTTATCAAGATCATAATAATAAATAATTGCACGTTTATCAGGATCTGCTATTGCTTCAGCGTCACGTTTATCTTCATGATAATAAATAATTGCTTCAGCGTAGAGGACAATAGTGAATAAAGCACACAAAAATGTGACGAATTTTAAATTCATATATATTTTTTTGTTTGCTTGAAATTTGTTTATTTGACAGATGAGTGAGGAATCAAAGCTGGGTTTTTATAATCTTTTGGCAACTTTATAGCTAAGATAAGATTTAATAAATAATCTTGTTTATTTTATTTATTTTAATTAATTATCTTAATAAAATATTGAAGCCTTCAAATTTAAATAAGCCGTTTCTTTTATTATTGTCAATAAGCTATTAATTTATTCATAAGCCATTTCTAGTGGCTTTAAGGGATCAATTTTAATTCCTTTAAGGTTATATTTTATATTATTTCTGCTTAGCGTTAATCAATAATCTTCCCATCTTCAACTCTTAATAAAAAATATTTTAATGTGGCTACTTTTATTTGTTACTGTAATTATTATTATTATTGCAAACTTCCTAAAAAATTTTATATATACATCATTTTTACATGTCAGATATTAGATTTAAAATATAATTTCGAAAATTCAAACCTGAGTTTAAATTATAAAACCATTTTTTATGAATCGCCACATGAATATTTATAAATTTTTCTATTATAATTTAATTATTATTAATTATTGTTTTATTTTTTTTTTTTACAAACAGATGACTCTAAGTCAAAAAATGACACGGCGATGCCACAAAAGAATAATAATCTGTTTTTGCATCAGCCAAATTAATTTATCTTACCATTTTTGGGATAATCAACCATTATAATCATAGATCCTATCCTAACCTTTTTTTTCTATTTTTGCATCAGCCAAATTAATTTATCTTAACATTTTTGGTATAATGAATCATTATTTAATCATCGATCCTAAACCTTGTGTTAACTTGCTTAGCCCCAATACCAAGCGATGCTTGATTGATGATCATTCGATCTAATGCTTAATGGTGAATATTAATTCATTTTTCGGAATTTTTGTGGAGTATTACATAGCTTACATTAACGAAATTAATAATTTTTCATTATATGTAACTTTTTTTTTTTTGTTTGTCTGAAATATGAAAAGGAAAAACGAAAATCAGAATGGCTTTTAATTCCAATGTTCGGTTACGAATGAATTTTCATGATTACATAATTATTTAAAATTTATTAAAGACTAACTCTATTTTCTATGCCAGTATTAATTTTTTTTTTTAAAAAAAAAAAAAAAAGAGAAAGAAAGAGAATATTCATTATTATAATTCTTAAGAAATTTTTATTAAATTACTGAAAAAAAAACTATAATAATTTCTCAAGACAATGTATTTATTTTATGTTTTTGCAATAATTAAACTCCCATTAACTGTTAATTATCTTTGTTGAATAATTTTAAATGGTCCTTAATCAAAAAAGATAACTCAACTGTGGGAAATTCCAGAGAATTTTTTAGATGAATCAAATATTTTTAAATTTAATTCTATAATAAATTATAGCTATTGATTATTTTTTGTTAATTTATGTTTTTATTAAATAATAGAATCAATATATTTATCCCTTTTTATTTTATTTAATTTTAATGTTTTCCCAAATCGAGAATATTTATTATTTCCATTTGTTTTCAGTATGGAACAAACCTTTCCTTTTAGGTTAGTTATTTATTGGTGTTATTATTATTTTGATTGGATTGGTAAGTGATTCTTGGGATCTTTAAAAGCTTGTTGACGAAATGAATTTTTTTTTTTTTTTTTTTGCTTTCTCTAAAAAGTTTTTCCTTTACTATGATTCGTAATCTCAGTCTTAGAAGTATTATTTAAAGAATAACTATTAATTTTATAATATCTTATAATATCTTCTATTGTTTAATAATTTTAATTTTATACTTTTATATTAGCTATAAAATATAGGTCCAGCCCAAAACTCAGAACTTTAGTATAATTATTTCTCATTTCTTATATCTCGAACTTTATTTATCTTTCTTGGATTTCATTTATTATCAATATATAATTGACTCTAAAGAAAATAATATCCATTTCTTTAAGTAATGTTTGTCTTGAAATAGTATCATAGTAATATATATTCCATTATCTGAATTCCAAATTTCCTCAATTAGTTTGGTTTTCCTAATCTTGCATTCTTAAACAAATTTTAATCATCGTTTTAAGAATTGACGAATCGGATTTATTGGAATGGCAAGTGTTAAAATAGGAAGAGTAAGGGAAATATCGTGTAAATTTACACGGTTATGTGATACTGAATCCTTATAATTTAGTTCAAGCAGATATAATTATTTCGCAATTAAGTTTATTTAACTAGGCATGATTTCTGATTCGGGTTGCTTTATTAGAAATGAAACGAAACTTCATATATATATATATATATATGAATAACTTCCAAATAATAAATTCAAATAATATTAACAAAATAATGAAATTTTCTTCGTTTACATTCACCTGATTAATAAAAAAAATTATAAATTGATAAAAAATGATATTATTTTTTTTAATATTTTTTTAAATGAAAGTTTAGTTTATTTCATCATACAATAGAAAAAGCAAATTTTTGATAATCGAATCATCGTGATTTTAGAGAATATTGTGCTTTTAACTTATATAGATTTATTTTTAAATTTAATTCTTTTATTAACTCATATATTGTTTGTAAAATTATAGAATTCTTACTTTCTTTCCATATAAACTCTCTCATTTTTAATTATTATACGTAAGTTACATATTACACACATGCTATATGTGTATAAACTAACTACTACTCCTTTTGTCATCACCTAAAGTGCTGTTAATATAGCCAGCTAATGAAAAGTGTTCTATATAACTTCTAAATTTGCAGTGATCTTCTAATTTCCTTTCAACGATTCATCAGTATATACTTTGATTTTTTTTTTATTTTTTTAAATTTCCTTTGAATTTCTCAAGTTTTTGTGGGTCATATTTCCTACTTTAATCCATTTATATATTATATTATTATATATTATATTATTATAATTAATATCATCCCGCTTCCCTTTTTCACTTATATTGTTATCTTCTCGTTTAGTGATTTTCTGCATCTGATTCATTTTGAATTAAGTTTATAGTTTATATTGCTTTTTTTACGTTATTTAAATGGCATTCTTTATCTGTTTTTATGTCGATTCATTTCTGAATCTGTTGTCCACATCTTAGAGTATGTACAGGTATTTCTATTTATCTCTCCTCTTCGTTATTTTGTTGAATTATGCAATTGTTTCCTTTCTCCTTGTTTTGTGAACATCCTTCACATGGGACCAACACAGTAGTGGTTTCCATATCTATCTGCAAGATCTCAATTTTTCTTTGCCATTTAATTTCATTATTTCTTTTCTATTACTATCTATTCATTTTTCTTGCTGGCTATCCATTTGGATTTAGATAGATTGTATTCTGTACACAATTTAAAAAGGGGATTTAAAGATTGTTTGTATTCCAATCTGGTTTTTCTTGAATACTGCTCCATTATCTTCTTTTCATTTTTTTTAATATATTAGTATCATCTTGGCATTCTACCTTTTCTATTCGTATTTTAGATTATTTTTAAATTCTATATCTAAGATCTGTTCTACATATACAATTTTTTTTTCTTGGAAACTTTTTTTGTATTTTTCATATTATCGTATATTATCTCCCATATATTTTTCATTAATATCTTTCCCCTGATGGAATGATAATATTATAAATTCCCTCATTTGTATTATGCCATTTTATTATTATTTCTTTGCTAAATTTATTATGATGCAGTCCTGTAACTCGGAACATTTTCAAAATGATTTTGATAAATAGATAACACAATAGATAAACTTATTCAAGATTCAAATAAATGCAGATTATTATTAGGACGATACCTTATGATAGTTTAAGGATATTAAAGAAATAGCAAAGGTGAATTTTAAACAATATATAAAGCTAAACAAGTTGAGAATGGGTGGAATGTAGCATTAAAAAAGTCTGATACTAATAATTTTGTAAGTTTTTAAATGATAATTTCATAAATGTGGAAAGAAGAAGTGTTATTGTAAACTGAAGAATAAGAATAAGAAATAAGACAGCCAAGGAAGGAATTATGCAAATCACCAGTTCTTTTTTCATTATATCTCTTTTTATTTCTTTCCAGTATCTCTATAAATAAAAACTAATAATTTAATTTATTTTTACTTACCCATTAATTAAGTATCATTAAGTATCATTAAGTATCATTAAGTATCATTAAGTAATCCATCGAGTGGGAGTCATGTAAATCGTTGAACAATGAAGAGAAAGTTGATAAAATAAATATATATTAGTCAAAAGTATATAAATAATATTTTTCATTATCACTTTAAAAAATTTTTTTCTTTTTGTAATCAGAGCTGGTATTAATGTTTAAAAAAATAATCTTTCAACTTTCACCATGGTCGATATGACAGGGGGAAAGAATATAAATATCATCATATTATGTTCAGATAAACTGGCTATAATATTTAATTAAACATAATCTTTTAACTTTCACCATAGTCGATATGACAGGGGGAAAGAATACAAATCTCATCATATTGCATATTACTTATTCTCATTTTGATATATTTTACCTTACCTTTATTATTTTTTTCTTCAAAGATAAAAAGTTGAGATGAAATTTTTGATAAAAAAAAAAATTTGATTTTTATTTTTAATAGGTACATCCGGATATTTTTTTAGGCGTAAATCTCCGTAATATTACGGGGTCTACATAGATTTATGCAATATTAACGTACATAGGTCCCATAATATTACGTAATATTACGGTCTAATGAATTAATCATGTTACATTGAAATTTCACATGATAATGAGTCACATGTTCCCTAATCAATATCTCAATTATGCGGAGAAGAATATAGAAAATAGTTACAGGACTTCTCCCATACCCTGAAATCTCACATAACAATGATTTGGTCATTAAATATGTAATGGATCCAAAATTCCATTTCAAAAATAATTTTTTAAATGGACAAGCGAAAATAAAAAAAAATAGATAACTTGTAATATATTTAAAGATATTAAGAGATACTAAAGGTAATTTCGGTACCATATATTATAATAAATGGA